AGGGTCAGGTTGGGAAGGAGGGAGAAGTGAGGGTACCAGCAGCCACATTCACATCCTCTGTTAGTTAAGCAGGAGTTGGTGCCCAAGAGCGTGGGAGATGAGGAAGGATGCCGGGCCAAGTGGTGTGTCAGGAGTTGCTGTGCCAGGCCTCCTGGTGCCCTGACCTTGAGCACCAAGTCTCAGATTGCCAATACCTGGGCCAAGGGTGCCAGAACCTGCTGTCTGGGCTCCTGCTGTATGAGCCTTAGCTGCTCTGGCTTCAACTGCATAGGACAGGTGCTTAATACTGGCATACTTGAAGTAGGCACATAGGCAGTACCCAGTGTTCTCCAACCACAGCCTGTCAAACACTAGAGAGGTGATAGAGGTCTCTGGTTCACCTCCTCAGTGTTCCTTTGGTGACCTTCTCAGTCCATGGACATTTAACAAGGAGACCCCTTGCCTATCACTAGAGGAACCACCAATTGTTTATTTTATCTAATGATACAGGAATCTATAGGACTAGGTGTCAGGCCACAGTGAGTTAGAGGTGCTGCACAAAGCTAAAGTTACATTTACAAAGATTACAAATTGGTTGATATCTAAATTTGGTTGTCGATTACCCAGGATACAGGCACTCGACACAAAATACACAATCCCCTGTCCAGAGTCTTCATTTCCCTACTATTTTACAGGAGATGCTTTTCCTGGTCATAGCATGTTTTGATCTACAGAGTTTACATTGATTTATATGAATAGTTTGGGGGCTATGTGAATTTTCCTAATCTTCTATTAGTGGTTCATTTCAATTTGATGTTCCTTTCCTAATTCTGCTTTGGTGAGTTTTTTCATTCAATACTCTGCACATGGCAGAAACACAATATATATATGTCCATCTGTTTACTTATCTTGAGGAACCCTGGGGTTTTTGCTTTGTAAATATTTTTATTATAAAGTTTTACATGCTAATTGTAGAAAAATTAGAAATAATAGGTAACAACAAAAAAAGAAAAGCCCATAATCTCCCATCCTGATTTTTTTAACCTGTAAGTAATATACTTTTTTGTGTGTGTATCTTTTTTTTTCCATTGTGGTAAAATATACATTGTATAAAGTTTATCACTTTAACTATCTGTAAGTGTGCAATTAAGTGGTGTTAAGTACATTCGCAATTTGTGCAACCATCACCACTATCCATTTCCAGAACTTTTTCATCATCACAAGTTAAAACTCTGTACCCATTAGATAATAAATCCCAATTTCCCCTCCCCCAGTCCCTGGTAACCTCTGATCTACTTCATCTCTATGAGTTTGACTATTCTAGGTATTTCATATAAATAGAATCATGCAATACAGGTGTTTGTTTATTTTCTGTCTGCCTTATTTCTCTGAGCATATTTTCAAGGTTCATCCATGTAATAGCATGTATCAGAATTTCACTTCTTTTTATGGCTTAGTAGTTAGTATTCTGTTGTATGGATGGGCCATATTTGGTTATCTATTCATCTGTTAATGGACACTTGGGTTGTTTCCATCTTTTGGCTATTGTAATTAGCCATCATAGCTGCTATGAACATGTGTGCACAAGCATCCCACACTTCTTTACACATCTTTCTTGACTTTCATGTATCCATATTTCTATGTTAAAACACGGTTTACAGATACAGGTTATACTGTAATCTGCTTTTACACATAATAATTTATAATAAAACTTTTCACATCATTAATCTACATAAGCTTAATGGCTATATGTAATTTCATTATGTGAGTATAGGAGAGTGAATGTAATCAATCCATTACTGTTGGACCGTTAAGATGTCTCCCATTTTTTGCTATTATAAACTGTAGCTAAATTTCTGTCCACTTATTTCCTTGATATAAGTTTCTAGACATTAAATTGCTGCAATAATATTAAAGCTAACCTTATTAAGTACTTTTTCTGTGACAGACATTGTAATAAGCACTTATAGTATCTAATTTATCCAAGCACTGTTAGTTGCCTATTTCATGGATGTGACATGAAGGACCAGCTAGAGGAGGTAGAATTAGAGGTAGCTGCATGGACAGGCTCTGTGGCTGCAGACCCAGACCCATCTGCTGCTCCCAGGATGGTCTCCAGCTTTTCCCTTGCTGTTACCCTTTTATAAATGGGGATAATGATACCAACTTCTTTTGGCAACTGCGTTTGCAGTTATTTTTCTACAAATGAGGAGAACAATACCAACTTCTCTTGGCAAATGTGAAGACTAAATTGACACATGTAAAGTGTTTAGACTCCTGCACTTAGTATATATGATCAATAATTATCAGTCATTGTTGAGGTATAGCAATTTCATTGGTACTCATATTTGACTATTAATGTTTTTGTTATATGAATTCTATTCTGCTTTTATAGTTTGAATTTTTTCTAGTACATCATTATAATTACTCTCTTTAAAATATTATGGAGATTTTAGTATACTTAAATGAATTATATTGAAAAGAAATATAAAACTTACCTGAAACCAAAGATACTACACCAACATTTATTTGTACCACAGATGTGCCCAGTAGTCTCGTTTAAAAATTACTGGGTGTAAACATAAGAAAAGATGTCAGCTTCACTATTAATCAAAGAAATGCAAATTTAAAATGACCATAGCTTGATACCCAGTGTTGGCAAGAGTGTGTATTAAAAGGCGTTCTTGTCAAGTACAAATTAGTATATTCCTTTTCCACAGCAATTTGGCAAAAAAAGTATCAAAAATTTAAAGTGCAAACTAATCAATTTCACATCTAAGACCTTCCCTAAGGAAATAAACAAATGCCAAATGATGTATGTGGAAGATGTTTCTCATATCATTGTTTCTAATAGCAAAACATTTGAAACTTATGCAACCTGTATGGGAATGTTGGGCCCCATTCAGATCCCCTTTACTTACATATATATTCCTATCTCTCAGATCCTATAATGGTCAGAGAATTACCTGGGGTAGTTACGTGAGTGGTGGGGGAACAGATTTCAGCAATATCTTCACTTGGAATGAAGCTCAACTCCAGGTCTGAGACCACATTCATTCTTAGTTTGCTCCCTGCCCTTTCTGCTTCCTTTTTACTTCTTTTCTCCTGAGAGCACTCCATCAGTAAATCACCTGAACAAGAATCCTCACCTTAGGCTCTGACTCTGGAGGGTATATGATCTAAGACACAGCAAATAAAAGTGATTATGAGAATCTGTATTTACTGATCTAGAAAGATGTTCATAGTGTATTAAGTGGATGTAGAATACTAATTTTTATAAAATCCCAATGAACATTTTTAAAAAGTCCAAAACAGATGTGAAGCCATATATTCTGTATGGACTAATAAATTATGGAATTATTTTCTTAAGTGTGGTAATGGTATTGTGGCTATATAGGAGTGTCCTTATGCTTAGGAGATGCATGCTGAAAGGGTGGAGTGTTTCTGCCATTCATTTCCAATTTTCCAAAATAAGTGTTTAGGCATATACATATATATATATGTATATGTATATATATATGTATGTGTATGTATGTATGTGTGTGTTGTGTGTGTGCATGTACATATACACACACACACACACACACACACACACACACACACACAGGATTTGTGGGAATTGGTGAGTCTCAGTTTTTGATTCTTGCAGCCAAGGACTTAGTATGCTACACTTGCAATGCTGTTGTCAGCTATTTATAACAAATCTTGTGCCACTATGGTGGTGAACATTGACCCTCAGGGGCACCGTATACTCTCTGGGTGTTGGTTTGTGCCACCCAAGGGAGCTACACATGAACATTACTCCTGCCTTGTACCTTTAGCTTGCTTTCAGATCTGTTAGCTTAGTATACATGTCTCAGTTGAACCTTGTTATCTGCTAACTAGACTAATATACTTTCAATATGAGCACACCCTTGATTCAACTCTTGTACTATGGGAACCTAGCCAAAGGAAATAACCACAAATGTGCTGATTCTACAAGCAAATAATTAGAAACAATCTCAATGGCCAAAAATGAAGGACTGACTTCAGAATCTCATGCAGTCACTGAAAATAGTACTGCAGAAATGTGCAGAAATAACATAGAAAGAGTCACGACAAAACTTAGAAAATTGTACGATATGAGTGAATATTAAGAATTACAGTTATATCCTGACTTGGAAGAATGTACACCAAATGCTTACCTTTGACTGTTTCTGGGTGGATAAATTATTTTTTTTTTTTTGCTTATCCATATTTTCTAACCCTTCTTAATAAACATTGTATTGCTTAAGCAACTAAAAGAAAGAAACTTAATTAAAAGATAAAAGAAGTTAAGATAGCATAAGAGTTAATAAACGATTTAGTACCAATTATGGGACTAAATCTTTTTTTATATATCTGCTTAAAAGATGCAGCCTGCATTGTGGTCAAGATTTCAGGTTCTGGTTTTTGGGTGTCTGGGTTACATCTTGGTTCTGTCACTCAGCTGAGTGATTGTAGAGCTAGGCTGGCTAGCCTCTAAATCTACATCTTCATATCTATAACAGAGATGGCAGTAATACCAACCTCATAGCTTAGTTGAGGGTTAAATGATACAAGGAAAGCTCTTGGTACAGGGACTAGCAGTACTAAGTAAGGGCTCAATGAATGTTAGCTATTTTTATTAAATTAGATGTCTTTAGTTTTCTTCAAGGGTCAGCAGATGTCTTCAGCAGATGTCTTCTGTTTACACTGACAGTGGGAGCCCCTACCTAAGTCTAAAGGACTCTGCAGGGCAGTCTGATAGTTGTGCTGTGCATCTTGCCTAGCTCTTTCTTAGAGAAGGGAGCAGGTAAGAGCAAAAGTAGAACTCCCAGGCCACTCAACTTGCCTAAAGCCTCCTTATCACTGGTGAGGAGGTAGAGGTGCAATTAATCATTAATAAAGGACAGTGCTCACCAGACCAAAGGTCAATGACCAAGGTCTGAAGTCCCTTAATAGGGAAATATTTCCCCTAGCCACTATTCGGGGGTGGGGAGGTAGTGGTGAAAAAAGCATTCTTTTAGGCCACACAATACCCAGCATCTTTATTTGGATTTTCAGTTTTCAGTAGTTTCAAAATTATCTCTTAAACTCAGATTCTATAAGCCAGGGTACAAACGAGTGAGGTCATTAATCATTGTTAATTTATTAAATAAAATTTTAAATTAACTGATTCTATGAAGTAGTGTTTTTCCACATTTCAGTTTAGAATCACTTGGCGTGCTGAAGATTAATTCTGCTAATTAATATAGTGGGCCTAGTATGGGCCAGCAATTTGGAAATTTTAATTTTTACAAATACCTCCAGATGATTATCATGATCAAAAAAATGTGGGAAACACTTGAAACATGCTTTTCAACTTCCTCTGCAGATTTTAATTCTTGAACAGTAAATCCCAGAATGACCCACTGAAAAGTCTTAACCAGTCCAGTTTTAGGAAAGAAGTCTTCTTAGCATTTTGTTTGATAAATTCTCCTCACTGGAGCCATCACAAATACTTTATTTTGGTTGTTTCCTAGAAGAAAGGCACTCTTTTTCCTTTTCATTCTGACCTAGCTCTTGTAGCTCATGTTTCCTTAGAGGTTCCATTTTCCCTGAGTTGAGGCATAGCAATCCAATCAAATCATCTTTTGGTTACTTATTAAAGGACTGTCACTTTTAATACCCTTTGCTTGCTTCTGTCCGACTCCCTTCTCTCCTGAAACTTAAGCCATTACGGACGCTTTGTAGACTCAATATTCTGGCCTTTCCACCTTAAATCTCATACTGAGAATCCCGTGAATGCCGGCCAGGATCTCATCGTTTTCTTTAACGGGTCCAACTCCTTTTGGTGTCCCAGTCAAGATAATATCTCCTTCTTCCAAGGTAATTATCTTCGTAACGTAGCTGATGATGTAAGGGATGGTAAAGATCATGGACGATGTTTCACCCTCCTGCCTGAGTTCGCCGTTGACCTTGAGCCAGAGCTTTAGGTTGTGAGGGTCAGGGATCTTCTCTTTGGGCACAAACGCGCTAACGGGGCAGGAAGTTGTGAAGCTCTTGGCCAGAGTCCAGGGCAGACCTTTCTTCTTGCACTCGTTCTGCACGTCTCTAGCGGTCATGTCCAGGCACAGGGCATAACCGGCCACGTAGTCCATGGCCGCGGCCTCCGGGACTGCGCGGCTGCGCTTGCCCATCACCACGCCCAGCTCGAGCTCGTGGTGCAGGTTGTGGCTGTACACAGGCATGAGGATGGGCGAACCCTCGGGGACGTAAGCGGTGGACGGCTTCAGGAAGAGTACAGGCTCGCTGAGCACAGCGCTCTGCATTTCCCTAACGTGGTCCGCGTAGTTCCTGCCCACGCACACGATATTCTTCCCCCACTCCCAGAAGCGAGACAGAGGCCTAGATGCCGCCATGGCTCCTGACCTGTGCCCCTGGAGTCACGTGGACTCTGCTGGGGCCTGTCCCCTGAAGTTTACGGCTATCCCGATAGGACGAACTACCTCGGAGCGCTGTTTCGTCTGCGAAGGCCCGTTCCTCTTTGCGCGTCGCTGGGTGCTCCGGAGTCGCGGCGCTCGTCCTCTGGGGAGCCGCCGTCTAGTGGCTGCTTCGGGGGTGCCGGGCCTTGGTTTAGTTCCCGGAGAGAGGCAGAGGCTCTAACGTTGCTCCTTGGCCACTATCACCTCCTTGCTTCCAGCCAGCGGGGGGCGGGCACGAGTCTAGACGTGAGCGTTGATTGGGCGGATATGGAAACCTAGCTTTGATTGGTCGGGAAGCGGGGCGGGCAGTGGGCTGGGGTTTGGTTGCGAGTAGATTGGTCGGGAGGTGGGAAGGGGACGCGAAGGGGGCACTGATTGGCTGTAGCAAGCTGACACTGCCCCTCGCGCCGTGGCCCGCTCGTCTCCTGTCATGGTGCTGGGCTACCTGCTGCTCCGCCGCCAGAGTCTCGCTGCCCTGGGAGCCGCCTGCACCCGTCGCGGCCTGGGTAGGTCGGCCGGGGCCGGCCAGGGCCGGGGCAGGGCTGACAGTGACAGAGGCCGGGGGTCCGGGACCAGCCGGGAGCGAGGGAGCCGCCAGGTTCGAGAGTCCTGGCCGGCGTCGCAGTCGGGTAACGGCGGTTAGGCCAGCCGCGCACTCCCCAAGGCGTTCCAGAGGCGCCGGCGGCCCGCAGCCGGGCGTTGGGCGCAGGCGTAGCCCGCGGGCCCGCGCAGATGGGTCGGCAGCGAGTCACCCGGCCGCCACGGCTGACGCTGTTTTTTATCAACACAGGATTTTAACCCTCGCTGACAGCAGCGGGCAGGCCGATTGGGGTCGAGAAAGGCTGCACAGCAGTTGGGTCAGAATTTGAGAGGGCTGAAGACAGAGAGTGGGGTAACTGGTCAGCTCGAGTTGCTGACGGATTTGTGCTAGGTAAGGAGATTTGTATTCCTGGGCTCTTGGATCTGCCTCCCTGCGGTCAGCCTGTCAGCCTTCACCCTTCTTGACCCTGGTGGTGCAGGGGTTCCCACATACTTTCATCCTTCCACCCCACACAAACCCCGTATTTCTAATGCCTTGGGGTGATGTGACCGTGTCTAGAGCTCCATGGAATGCTGTATATATTCTCCACAAAGTAAATCATATCTTTTCATGTGAGCTCTGACTGACAAGAAAAACCCAAGGCACGCAATTCTTAAGTAATGGCAAAGGGCAGAACCCTAGAGCAATACTTGGGTTCCTACAATGCTGGGTTCTGTGAGCTGTGGGACCTTGGCCCTCCCTGGCTCTGTTTCCAAACGTGCCTCTAAGATGAGAGGCGTTGGGCACACACTGGCCTCCAACAGCCTGCTCTTCCTGCTGTCAAAGTCGATTCTCACTGAGAATCTTGGCTTTGTTGGACTATTTTGACCTTTTTAAAAAAATCTTTTATTTATTTCTTGATATCTTATCTGGCTGATGGAGCAATAGGGAGAATAGATTAACCTGAGTCTCTGGGAGCTAGTTAACAGCTAAATAAGCACAGGGCACTTGGTAGGCATATGGAACAAGCAGTGAAGCCATCCTTGGCCATTTTCAAATCCCACTGAAAGCAGTCAAGGTGTCAGAGTGGTTGATGTATCACCATTGCTGAGGACCCTATTCAAAAGAAGCCAAACAAAACATGTCTCAGGACTTCATCCAGACCATAGGCTGCAGGTCGGCACAGACCTGCACACTCTGATTACACGAAAGGTCACAGTTGCAAACCAGTGAACTGAGAGCATTTCTCAGGCAGTGGTGGGCTAGGTGATATAATTTTTGGAAAAGGAAAAAGGTTTCTAGTGGTGAACACACCAAATGAATTCTTTCCTTGGAGATAATGGCACATTCCTCAGTTTCCAAGGCTCTGATGGCACCAACTGTGAATATTTCCTTCACCTGTGCAGTGCTAGTGATGTTCTGTGGAAAACATATAAATGGGGTCCCCTTTTGAGGAGGATGCCCCAAGACTCGTGTTGTTGTTTCAGTCCTTCTGCTTTCCTTCCACCCCCACCCCACCCCCAATATATACACTATGCTCTGCATAGTGTAGTCCTTCTCAGGCTCAGATAGCACTGGGGCTCAGGGGAGGTGGAACATCACAAACTTGATCATACAAAAGTGTGGATTTTGCTGTGCATGAGGAGAAGGGCCTGGAAAATGCCCAACTGGTTGTCAAAAGAGGGGGTTGGATATCTCTATGTGACCATTAAAGCTAGAGTTCAGGCAATTTCCCTGGCCATGGCAGATAAGGTTGAATTCTGATTGACAGTCCCTGGAGATGTGGCTTGTCAGTCAGTAGGTGCTGCCGGATTCCTGGATCCCTTTTGGGGAGAGGCCCCTATCCCAGCACCTGCCCCAGAACTTCATGGCTGTCTTCTATTGCCTTTTGTTATGTGGTTTTAGATCCTTTCACACTAAGACTTAAAATATTATTGGAGCCTCTGGGCATTTTTAGATTGAATAATAGCAGTTTCATTGTTAAAAATATTCTGGCACCTGTCTGCTGGTTAAAGGATGCTTTTGCCTGTTGGTCACTCCTGGCTACCCTGGCAGAGTCCTTTGGCTCAATTGCATGGTGATTCTGTATTCTGCATATCTGAGTCTAGAACAATGGTGGCCAACATCCATTTCTGGTAGTTTTTTGTGCATTATCCAAGTTTCTAGTTTCTGCCATTTGAAAGTGAATATTGTTTTCTTTTATGGCTGGAGGCCCGAGAAGGGCTGTAACTACAGGTGACTCAGGCTGTGTTAGCCAGAGAGGCAGCACTGTGCTGTGGATGAGAAATGGCCCAGCTTGGTACTTTCACTCTGGGTTCCTCTCTTCATGGTTTTTGAGTTGGTGTGAACAACCCAGAACTGACGATAGTCATATGCCAATGTTCACAGCCACAAACCGTACTTCTGTCTTTTTAGAACTCTTGAAAAAGAAAGGATCATAAATCCGAAAGAGCCAATTTCCATGACTATGAACATGAATCGTCTTCTAGATTTTCCTTACTGATATGGTTAAGGGAGGATATTCTTTCTCTATCAAAGAAACTTAGAAAACCCTGCATAGCCAGCCTCACTCTTGAATGCTCACCTCATCTTGTCCTGGGATGTCACATCCCCAGGATGCCCCTACTGCTGGGTCATCAAGGACTCCTTTTGAAGTGTATGCCTGATGTGGCCTCATGTGGACACTGACCAAAGCTACACTTGTCTTCAGGTCCAGCCCTGCTGGGAATCCTCCTCCATCACACAGATTTGAGGAAGAGCTTGACAGTGGAACAGGGCGCCATGAAGGTTGAGTTACTGCCTGCTCTGACTGACAACTACATGTACCTGATCATTGATGATGACACCAAGGAGGCTGCCATCGTGGACCCAGTGCAGCCCCAGAAGGTGGGAGGCATGGTCCCAGAACCAATTCTTCATCCCCTGATGGGTTTGATCACTGTGGTGTTCTTGTAACTTGGCTAAAGCTAAATGGAAATCAATCCATTTAATTTTTTTTTTTTTTTACAAACAATTAAACTAGTGTCTAACCACTGTTATCGGGGCAAAGGGCCAGTGAAAGGCGTGGGGTGACCAGAGGCTTTTGCGTAGAGAGAAAAAGACCTGTCCCTTGGCAGAGGAGCAGGGACTATCCTTGGCACTATCTTCTCTTCCTTGAGGCTTTGTGCCTTCGGCCAGAGGGGCTTGAAGCGGTTGAGGGTGCGGGGGTGTGTTGAGGACTGAGCTGCCAAGTGGATCAAGAGAGAAAAAGGCTACAATCACCCTGCTCTACTGAAGTTACCCTGAGTCATCAGAGTCAGGACGGGCCCAGCCCCTCCTGGCACATCCTGAGTTCTGCTGGGCAACCCCACCCACCCTGCAGGCTGTTGAGCCAACTCTGGGAGTGTGATGATGGCCTTTGTCCTGCTTCACGCTTGGTTGCAGGTTATAGAAATGGTGAAGAAGCACGGTGTGAAGCTGACCACACTGCTCACCACCCACCACCATTGGTAAGTGCTCCACCCTGGAGGCCAAGCTCCTTCCAGGCCAGCAGAGTTGATTGAGCCTGACTACTCCATTCCAGGCACACCCCAAGGGCGGGGTGGGGTAGGGTTCTGTAGGCTCTCTGGGCCCTCCCACAGCTGGCAGCCTGAGTCACTTCTGCCCCCACAGCTGTGTCCACTATGCACCTGAAGATTGACCTCCAGTGGGATTCTGAGAAGACTTTCGGCTTCAGCCTTTATACTGCCACCCGATTCCCTATATCTTTCAGGCCCTGGCCCCTCCACCCTGTGACAGGGTCTGGTAACTAGGTGACTCTCTGGGGAGATGCTTGCACTGTGGATCCTTCTACTGCAGGAAGACCTCCAGCAGGTCTCTGATAGTGCTTGGGCTTGTGTGATGAGATATTGGCCTTGGTGACAAGGAAGAAACTAGATTAGACATTAGTGTTTTTAAGAATCATTAGCCATATTTGAAGAGGTTGTATGTGTTTTTGATATTTATTCGAAGGCTAAAGGATGAAAAAGCACCCGTGTTTGAGTTTAGGACTAGAGTTGTCTGTCCAAGGCCCCCATTTTTTTTGATTTTTGAAACTTATGAAGCTCTTCAAAGCTGAAGAGAAAACATTCACTGGGCTCTGAATTTTGCAAATAACTGCTCGAGGGTAGCTAGTGCCTGCAAATGAACATATCCCTGTAGCATCGCTATCATTCAGCCTGCAGGAGCTCTGCCTCCTGCGCAGCTTTCTCCTGGTAATCAAATGAGGCCTTTGACCCAGAATATTGCTTGGATGTGGTTTGGCCAAAGTTTGTTAAATGGCGAAAATGTCTGGTTTGATGTAACTAAGTTGCTGAGTCTTTGGGGTTGTTTAACCTCTGGGGCATCAGGTGCTAATTCCTCTAGGGATGAGTCTGCAGCCTTGCCCTTGGCTCTGGGCTACTTAGCTCTACTGCTCTTACTGTTGGGTAATCCGCTCCCGCTGTGCCTCGCCAGACTCCTGGGCCTTCGTGTGGCTACACAAAGCCTCCCCTGCTCCAGCCTTGCACAGTTTGCTTCTCTTTTTCACACCAAGTAACTCCCACATCAGAGTTTGTTTTTCTGGAGGGTTTTCTCAGCATCTTATGTTTACGATAGAACATAAACCCTAAACAAGGCCCCAAACAGAATTCAAGGGCACAGCCTGTGCCTCCTTCCCTCTTATCAGTGGTGGCAGTGAGCTTGCTGTGGG